ATGATGATGGCTGCCGAGAGCAGGACTGACCAGCCGACGGCCTTGGGATAGAGCCTCAAGCCCTCCATGAGGGTCATCGTCTGCTCTGCCTTGGTGGCTTTCGAGGCATCTTCGGTGAGGTACGCGAGGTCGGGGTTGGCGTTCTTCATACAGAGCGCCTGGTCGGTGTCGACATGGACGATACTGCTTTGACGCGGAGCCTCCATTGTCGTACGTGATGATCGAACCTCAGTTCAAGAACGAAGGAAGAAGCACTCTATCAGTCCAGCGAGGCACAAAATCATGCGGGTCCTTAGGATATGTATCTCTCCACTGGATCTTGCACACGACACATTTCCCATTCGGCCAACTTCTCCCCGATCTTTATACATGCAACAATTTTTCTCCCCGCAGCAGACGTCTAACCACGATCCACCCCCTCATCCAACTCCGGCCAAGAGACTACGGAAGACGGGGACGAGCGTGGAGTAGAAAAAGCGCAACATGCTGGGCACACAATATAAACAGCTAACTGGCTCTGGCAAAATCGTTGCAAGCCCGTTTGTGGGGTTTGGATCTGGGGATGGTCAAAGCCAGTCTGGAGAAAATGAAGGAGCGGTTCGGAAAGCGCGGTGGTTGGTACTATGGCGGTCCGAGAGTGGACAAGGCTGGCGAATGCGGCATAGGCTGGATGCTGCGCGCCGGGAGCTGCCATGCAGCTACGAGCGTTGGAACTTGGCAGAGTTTGATTTCCGAGTTGCATACTCCCCGATTAACCTTTGGCCTAACAGCGGGACCTAAGCAAGCCCAGGTATGTCTCTATGATTGTCAATCCACTGTCCGTGCGTTGCTGTCACTCTCCTCTACTCGTTGACAGTATAACTCGGCGTTGGGTTGGCGGCTCGGTTGAGGGTGTCCCGTATCGTGACACGATGCAGCTCCGGTGGCTTGGGCGCGCAGAAGTCGTGAGGCATTTTCTGTGATGCCGGCTTTGGACGAATGGGGAGTGGGGTTCGCCGTTGATGGTGGGCTCGCAGGGTAACGCTGCAGTACTTCTACGAGGTATTGTCAGTCTAAGAGGGTAGTGGGTACTTGCCATCAGCATCTATAAGAGATGGAACAGCCTTTGGGAGCCCAATTCTTTCTACATTATGGAAACCCGTTGCTAGTCACCTGTGGAGGATCTTTCTCGAGGTATTAATTCAACTAGATACCTCAGAGGATCAGCAAGGCGAAGCAAAGTGCACACATGAATTGTCGCATTTGACCTCCAGAATCCAGATGCATTTAGCAAGAAGACTCGCCTTACTCTACATATCCAGGTGGATCCGGGATGCTGTGATAGCGATCACAAGAGTGTGTATCCGCCGTACGGCACTGTGGCGAATTTGGAAAGGTTGTCCCTATGCTTACTTTGAAATGTAATTCCTCTGTTTTCTTTCTGTTAGTCCAGGTGGTCGCGCTCCTCTTCCTTCGTAGCTAATGCCGCCTCATAGCACTCGACCCACCCACCGGGCCTATCCTTGTCGCATCCCCCGAATGTTATTCGAATCCAGAAGTACGAATGCACCGCTAGATAGACTCGGCCCAAGTCATAGCAAAAACGATTTCGAGGATCACGCTCTTCAAAAACGAACCCCCAACTTCGACTGGTATATTTGGAGCCTTGCACGCTACGTGAATGTATCTACAAGAGCGCGATGGAGTTCTGGTTAGAGCGGGCGTTGCCGGTGTTAAGAGTTACACAGCGAACGTGTACTCGAAAAGCGAGTTGCTAGATGCACAAATTACAGATGCAAGGCCAGAGTGGTATCGAGGACCTGATCTGATGTACAGTCGGGGAGCGTACGGTTTGAGGGTTCACCTGGAAGACGACGTTTACTGATAATTCGTAGCTGGCGTGTGGTTGATGCTCAGCAAGCATCATTGTATCTCCTCAAAAGGGGTCGATGGCCTTTCAGCATGTTCCTAGAGAAGTAGGTCTACTGTTTCTGGTATGAGACCGAACCATTTAGCCAGTGAGACTTATGTCTCAGGTGTAGGTCATAAGACATCCGGGAAGAGACTGTATATCAAAGCTTCTTGTATTTTTGTCCACTTTGTTCTATGAGCCGCAAGACACGCTCAATCGCACGCCTCTACCGAAGGAAAATCCATGATAATGCATACACCCGGGGCGCTCCAGAGCCTTCCCATCTCAGTATCGTCGTCCATGTCTCGGTGCATCGCTTCCATCGTCGCCGCTCCTGCGCGTTATCTCAGCCGCCGGGCCTCGCGTTCGGACTCGAGCAAGCAGAGGATGTCGTTTTCGCGGATAGCGCCCTTGACGTTGCGGATGATCTTGGGGTCGTTAGCGCTGCGGTTTGGAGGGTCGAAATCGCGGTTCAGCTCACGGATCGCGTGGTGTCGTCCATGAATTCGACGCGCACTGTTCCCGTTAGCAGATAATCAAACAGTCTCTGAGCGCCGGATGTACCCTGGGTGACTCCTCCACGGCTGCCGGTTCGGCCGAGCACACGGGTGACCTTGACGAGCTGTGACGCCGAGTTAACCTTGCGACTCGAGGGATGCGAAAATTCGGGATTGCGGTACCTTCACGGGCGTTTTGGCGGCGGCATCCATGCTTGCAGTCTGTATTTTTAGCACTTGATTCTCGCGTGTCGCAAATTCCACTTACATTTGACTGGATCTGGCTGCAGCGGCTGAATTTCTCGTCAATGGGCGGGAGTCTCTGCGGCGAGCGTCGTGGGAAGTTTGAAGCTGCCAAGCATGCAAGCGAAGTTTTGTGCCGGCGCCCACCGCCTTCGAGCCCGCGCCATTCCGCATGCGGCGGCGGCGCGGGGCAGCTGCATGACCGGCGCTGATTGGCCGGCACGGCTTGAAGACTTGTCCGCATATCGGAGGCCTCAACACCATCTCGCCGGTCGTTCTCTGCTCTGACTGGTACATGCGCCTTCAGACATCCCTTCACGACTACACAGACTGCATTGCCGGACTCGCTCTACCCCTGCGCCCCCCCCCGTATGTCATTTTTCTCTCCACGTGGAGCGTACCCCTCTTTGACTCAAATCTGCTCACCCCATTTCTGCACAAACACAAACGACAAAGCGATCCAACAACACGTCGATAGTGGCGCATAGGGCCAGACCTGGTGTATCCTACCCTCCACTTGCGCCCAATTAGACCCCCGTACGTGGGCACTCGTCTACAGCTTGCATTGAGACAAACAACGTAAGACCAGCGCGCCTTAACACCCTGGCCCTGTCCTGCACTTGTAAGACCTACCGCGGACGGCGCCGTGTTTAAGAAGTATGGACCTCGTCAACTCGTATGTTACATCCCCTTCTCTCTTACCCCTCTTCAGACCACGCCACCATGGAGAACACCAACGGCATCAACGGAGTGAAAGGGACGAATGGCATCTTGCACAAGCCGCGGAGTGCAAGTCGAAGTCTGCCATTGATGACTGATATATTGGGACTCAGCTTAAACGACCGGTTGCTGTTCGCTGTTCCGAAGAGTACGTCCCGTTCCTCACTCTATTAGCATGCAATGCTGACCACTGTATGAATAGAGGGCCGTCTTAATCAAGCCTGCCTTGACCTCCTCCACGGCTCCGATATCCAGTTCCACCGTCACTCGCGCCTCGACATAGCGCTCGTGAAGAACCTTCCACTCGCGCTCATCTTCCTCCCTGCCGCCGACATCCCAACCTTTGTGGGTGAGGGACGAGTCGATCTAGGCATAACCGGACGAGACCAGGTCGACGAGCACGAATGCGTATCACCGCCGACCGCGACCGAAGGCGTAGCGGAAGTTCTCGACCTCGGCTTCGGGAAGTGCACCCTGCAAGTCCAAGTCCCACAAAAGGGAGAATTGTTAAAGCCGGAGGATCTGATTGGGAAGAACGTCGTCACAAGCTTCGTAAACCTCACGGAGAAGTACTTCAGAAGATTAGAAGCGGAGCAAGCCGGGAACGAGACGAACGGCGATTCAAACGGGGAAGCAAAGCTGAAGACGAAGATAAAATACATTGGCGGTAGCGTTGAAGCTGCGTGCGCGCTCGGAGTCGCAGACGGCATCGTCGATCTCGTCGAATCAGGAGAGACGATGCGCGCCGCTGGCCTGAAAGCAATCTCAACAGTCGTCACCACAAGTGCCATTTTGATCAAGTCAAAGCACCCTTCAGATCCTAAGCTGGTCGACCTCATCACCGCAAGAATCAAGGGTGTGATAAGTGAGTTCTCGTAATCTACGCCTTAAATCAACACCCGCTAACATCCCTTGCAGCCGCTCAAAAGTACGTCCTCTGCAGCTACAACATCGAGCGCCCGAAACTCGACGCCGCCACCAAGATCACACCCGGCAAGCGCGCGCCGACCATCAACTCCCTCGAAGAAGACGGCTGGGTCGCTGTGCAGGTCATGGTCGAAAAGAAGGAAATTGCCGTTGTCATGGATCGGCTGACCGAGGCGGGCGCGTGCGATATTCTGGTCATGAAGATTGATAATTCGAGGACGGGTTAAAAGGAGAGATGAGCTGTCTATCGGCCAGCAGGTTAGGGATCAGAATCGCAGGGACGGCTTTTGGGGCAATCGGATACCGGGTGCGATACAATCTGTGTGTGGGATACAGGTATTTAGATAGAACGGGATATGGGATCTTGTGTCCAGGAGTAATACATTTACTTGAGATGGCAGAATCTACGCGTATACCTTGCGAGTCTACCAGTCTTTCTAAGACCAAAATAAAGCGCAAGGAGTACGTACTCCTTTGATAGTGCTCGGTTGGTGTCTAGGTAAACAAACGTAAGGGAGGGAGAACAAGGTCCATATATCTTGCAAATACTAGTAGATTAGTTGTGAATATAGCTATCCATAACTTGCAGAAGTCGTTCCTTAAGTCCTCGCATATAGATAGCTATAACAATAAAGAGCGCAAATCCGCACATCTACCAAAAAGAAAACCGCCCACTGCCTCCCTCCTCCCCCTCCCAAGCAAAGAAAAACTCCAAAAAAGAAAGGTCCTGCCCGGACTCGAACCGGGGTTGCCGGAATAGTAGACTCTAAGAAGAAGTATTCTCAGAATCCGGAGTGATGACCACTACACTACAGAACCATTTTGATTCTCGGCTATTGCTTTGATTGATGGGGAATTTGAGGATTTTACGGTATATAGAGAATCAGAAAAAGCGGGTGAGGGTAAAGGCGGGTTTTGGGTGGGGCTGGTTTGTTTGTGTGGGTGGGGCGAGGTGGGGCGGGGAAAAGCGGGAAAGCGCGGCGCTAGGGAATTGGGATGGAGGACAGGGGTAGGCAATGTGGCGCAAGATTTGGATTTTGGGGCAGCGCGCTGCGCAGCGCAACCTTGGGAATACGAATAGACGAACAAGAGGCACATATCTAGAATGCGATTGCAATGCAGTGTTCATTTGGGTTAGAGCTAGCTATTTAGATGTTGCTTGTGCAGCGGGGATTTGGGGCTGCGTCTAAGTACAAGCAAATGCGGACTACGACGAGATTATCAACCTGAGCAAAGGTATTTACTGCTATTTAGATTGAGAGATATAGCTATACGATGGTATTGAATGGCATGCAAGTAGTCTACAGGATGCCAGACGCAAAGCTGCAGCTGTAGCCCTTATGGTGTGGTGTGTCCCCGCCGAGTATATATGCTCACTACATAAACCACCCCCAGCCCATTCCCATTCCGCTTTTACGAGTTATCGACCGCCTGCACAATCGCACCCTTCTTGCCCTGATCCAAGCCATCCAACGCACCCATATCCTCCGTATCCAACTCAAAACCATACACATCCGCGTTGCTCACAATGCGCTCCGGCGTGTCGCTCTTCGGCAGTGGGCACCAGCCCTTCTGCAGACAGTAGCGAATAAGCACCTGGTTCGGCGACGTCTTCTGCTTCTGCGCGATTCCGGCCAAGGTTTTGTCGCCAGCTTTCTGGTTGCGGACGAGCGGACAATACGCTTCGATGACGATGGCGTTCTCCTCGCAGTACTTGACGACTTCGCGCTGTTGGCACCAGGGGTGCAGCTCGATCTGGTTCACGACGGGGGGCCAGAGTTTGCCAATAGACTTGATCTCCTCGATGTGTTTGATGCCGTAGTTGCTGACGCCGATGTCCCTGACTTTGCCGGCTTCTTTTGCCTTTTCCAATCCGAGCCACATGAGCTTCCGCGCCTCTTTCCCTCCGTTTGGGGTGTGGATGAGGAACAGGTCCACGTAGCCTTCTTTCCCGACCAGTTTCTCCACGCTCTCCTCAATCGATTTGTATGTGCTTTCCACGTCTGCTCCGGCCGATAGGATCTTCGAGGTAATGTAGATATCGGAGCGCTGGATTTTAGCTTCGCGCACAGCGCGGCCCACCGAGGACTCGTTGGCGTAGTATTGGGCTGTGTCGATGTGACGATAACCCGCGCTGAAGGCCTTTGTGCAGGAGTTGACGCATGTTGAGGGAGGCGACTGGTAGACTCCAAAGCCGAGCTGGGGGATACGGTGCGGGGACTTGGACAGGGCGAGGGTCGACGTTATGGAGAGCGGTTTTGTAGACATGTTAAGAGTTCTGGCACCAGTTAGTATTGGAAGCCGTGCTGCAATTCATTTGACGGGAGAAGAACGTACTGAGATGTCAATGCTCGAAGCCAAAGCGGCCACGGGGGAAGATACTTATCATTGCCCCGCGCATCCCTCGGATACACTCTGTGATCCACAATGTGATGATGTCAGTGTTCAGCAGTCGTGGTTAACCATCTAATCTCTTCAATCATGCCCGTTGAGCAGGCGGAAGGTTAGCTCGTAATCTAGTAGGAAGAATGCCTCGAAGTTAAGTAAATTCATTGTTGCGCGACGTCTTAAGACTCGACGGCCCTTTGCGATGGCAGCCCTCTGGAGTTCAACGGCGGATTGCATCGTTCGCGCTAAAGCGATTTACGCCGTGCCAGCGGCGGGCGGGCGGGCATCCCGCCTTCACGTGCGTGTGGGCGCCACCTCTAGGCAGTGGCTCAAGTAATTTTAGGCAATTGCAACCCTTTTCCCAAACCTGAAGTCCTCTTCAACGCCAAATATCAACACCAGCGGACTTCCAAGATGGTGCTCCAAGCAATCAAATACTCCAGAGGTCGACTAGAGATTCTGGACCAACTACTCCTTCCGCACTCGGAATATTGTTTCGACATTGACTCATGCACCATGGCATGGCATGCTATCAAAGACATGAATACGCGCGGTGCGCCTGCAATCGCAATCGTGGCAGCTCTGGCTCTGGCAGTGGAACTTGTCAAAATGAAGCTACCTCCAAGTGCAGAAGAGGTGAAGCTCTTCATACTCGAGAAGCTAGACTATCTAGTCACAAGCCGACCAACGGCTGTCAACTTGGCGGATGCGGCAGGAAAACTTCGAAGCAGGACTGAGGAAGCTGCGGCTAAAAAGAACTCGACCGACAAATCAGTCAGAGAGGCCTATGTGATGGCGGCAGAGATGATGTTGGTAGACGACGTGAAGGACAATGAGGCTATCGGAAAACATGGTGCAGACTGGATTCGCAACAACACTGAAGCTGGAAAGAAAGGCAAAGTGAGTATGCTAACGCATTGTAACACCGGGTGAGATAGCATTGGTCTTCAAGTTGCGCTACTGCTAAAGTATCTAGATCCCTTGCCACAGCGGGATATGGGACCGCGCTTGGTGTGATACGCTCACTGCATGCCACTGGAGACTTGAAGCACGCGTTCTGCACTGAGACTCGACCGTATAACCAAGGATCCAGACTGACGGCATTCGAATTAGTCCATGATAAGATCCCAGCAACCTTGATAACAGATTCAATGGCGGCAGCTCTACTTCTCCTCAAAGGACCTAGCGAGAACATTGCGGCGATTGTCGTTGGCGCCGACAGAGTTGCAGCAAACGGTGATACTGCCAACAAAATCGGAACTTATTCGCTTGCGATCCTAGCTAAACACCATGGAGTCAAGTTCCTCGTCGCAGCGCCGCGGACTACGATCGACCTCAAGACTAGATCCGGCAACGACATCGTCATCGAAGAGAGACCGGGCAAGGAGGTCACCGTTGTAACGGGACCACGATCCGAGGGCGACCGTCGTGTGGACCGCGACCATGTCGAGACTATCAGCATCGCTGCATTTGGTATCGGCGTGTGGAATCCCGCTTTCGACGTTACCCCCGCCGAGCTCATCGACGGTATCGTCACTGAAGTTGGAGTGGTTGAGAAGGACGATGATGGGGTTTTTCACCTGGACAAGATCTTTGAGACAGGAGGCTCGAACGACAAGCCATCGACGATTGGAGGGATCTAGAGATATACTTCGATGGCCTTGCATGCTGATTGCAATGGGTGGACGGCTTTCAAGTGACCCCCTTCGAAGGCAAGCTCTGCTTTCCTATCACAGGCTTCCTTTCCGCTTTCCTATCATAGGCTTCCTTCTGAGATATATTCCCAATCGATGCAGTAGCAAAACCAGTGGCAGTGTGGGGCCATGGCACTAAGCGTAATTGAAAATACCCGCCTCCAGGCTGTTTTGACGGCAATTCCAGGCATTTACTTTCGACGTGAGACCCAAGAATGAATGCAAGAATGCCTATAAAACTCCGAGAGCCCCATGATCGTCTAAAGTTGGCTGGATGGACTTTGAATCATAGGCTATAGGACATCGAAAGGCAAGGTTTCGCGCAATGCTCGTTATCAGGCCGAGCTCTTCTTCTCGTCGTTTGATGACGGTATTCGTTCAGAAGATTCCTTAGTTTGTGCCTTCAGCTTGCGCTCATCCTCGTCTGCCTTTGCTAGGAGCGCCTCGATTTTCTTCTCCACCGAGTCGAGGTGGTTCTCGAGGGCGGCCGCGGCGCTTTCGCCTCGTGCGAGCTCCTGAAACGCCTACGACAGCTGTCAGTAATTGCGCCTTGGACACGGTTTTTAGATAGAGTTACCTGGGCCAAGTCTGGCTCTCGTGGCTTCAGAACGCCAGTGTTATCTTCCTTTTGTTCCGACGACATGATGGCTGAGGAGGGGCAGGTGGGATGATGAAACCGCGTTGTTGTCGTGGCTGGGGCGATGCTCGAGCCAATGGCCGGATGACGAAGCTAGCGCGCGTTCACACCAAGCACAGCACAGACATCTACAACCTCCGCCCGGACAACCTCACCTGCCACCTTGCAGCTACCCTCGAGTCTCTTTTCCTTGTCTCTAATAATACCACTTCATGCGCGTGGCTCGGTCTCTCTGATTGACCCGCGACTCTCGGTTCACCATGTTCTCTGGGTCCAACTCCTACTTAGGGGGCGGCAACAGCGCCCGACCTGGACAGCCTCAGTATGGACAGCAGCAGCAGCCACAGCCACAGCAGCAGCCGTTCCAGCAGCCGGGAGGCTTTCAGGGAGGACTGGCGCCCCAGCCGACTGGGTTTGGGGGAGCTCCAATGCAACCACAGTTCACAGGCTTCCCAGGACAACAGCAGAATCTCGCGCCGCAACAGCAGCAGCCGCAGTTTACCGGCTTCCCAGGCCAGCAAGCTCAGTTCCAGCAGCCTCCCCAACAGCAGCCGTTCCAGACAGGCGCAGCTCCTCCGCAGCAGCCGACAGCCCCACAGCAGATGCCGCAAGCTACGGGCATGACCTCGGCGCAGATGGCGAACTCCTTCAGGTCTTCCCCATCTCAAGCAGCGCCGCCACCACCACCCGCGAAATCGAACAAGATTCCGAACATGCGGCTGTCGTTTATTACGGTTCAGGATCAGGCCAAATTTGAGCAGCTGTTCAAGTCCGCTGTTGGGAATGCGCAGGCGCTGTCAGGAGATCAAGCGCGGGATCTGCTTATGCGCTCGAAACTCCAGGGAGACGCTCTGTCACAAATATGGTTTGTCTCCTATACAGGCGGATGCTATTAAGTGGTGCTAATATATCCCAGGACTTTATCTGACACCACAAAGTCAGGCCAACTCCTGTTCCCCGAATTCGCTCTTGCCATGTATCTGTGCAATCTGAGATTGACTGGTAAAGACCTGCCGAACTCGCTACCCGAAAAAGTCAGGAACGAGGTATCAGGAATGGTGGACATTATCTCCTTTGGCATTCCCGACGAGCAGCCAGGT